TACACACATATATGCATATATCTTTATATTGTAAAAGTTGGAAAGCTTGGCATTATTACCTACTTTTTCAGAATTAGAAGTGAAAATTTCAGAATAATAATTTTTTTTTTTTAACTCATGGTTATGTTTGTACATCAACAGTATAATGATAAAGCCATGACATGTAGGCTTCTCTTTCTCTTTCCTGGATTCAATAGGTATTTTCCTACGTTGGAACAGATCCTCCAAGTATTTGGATGAAGCTTATGAAGAAATGGTTAACATCATTGAATACAACAAGGAATTACAAGTAAAAGTAAATATCCTAAGGAGGCAGTTGGCAGAACTGGAAACAGAGGATGGGATGCAGGAGAGCCCCTAGAAGATCCTCCGACGCCCTTTTCAGAGAGCCCTCCTGGACCTGTATTCCACCTCTCTCTTTGCTCTTCAGTTCACTTTTACACAACAGCTTAAAACTTATGGAACTTTAGGCTTAAGATATGGGAACCCTCTAATATAATAGAGTCCTCAAAACTTTATTAACAAAATGTATAATTACTCATGTTTCATGTGGTCTTTTAGGCCTTTTTCATTTAGGGAGAGGGAAAGAGGTGCTAGTCATTTTATTTTATGTAAAAAAATCGGTGACTTAATGACAGTAATGTTATATGCCATTTTATCATAAGCTATATCTGTGTATACTTTCTAAACAGTGCTTTAAAACAGTCAAGGATATGGTTAATCTCTTTAGGAAATATTTATTAGGTCAAACTTTTAAGCACTCTGGATGAAGAACTATTTTTCAAAACTTAAACAGTTGATAAGCCAAGGAATTTTGTGTTCAACGTGCCATTTGTCACATAAAATTTCTGTTTTCCTTTAAAATAGTTTTGATCCCATGAAGCTGAATTCATTCTCATTCTAATTTGTCAAAGGAAAGTTCAAGTGCTTAGTCTAGATAAATTACTTTTATAGGGGCAACAGGTAGATAATCTCTGATAATTACATTAAGAATAATTAAATTTATTTTTACAGAACACAGTAGAAGTATGTGCAATATAAGATTAAAGTTAGGAATTTGTTACTGACATGGTATTGTTACTATTGAATTTTCAGGTTTTTTGACCATACGTATTAAATGTTGGTGTGTTTTGTTTTATTTTTTATTATTCTGAGAGTTTGCTAATACAAAGGTTAAAAATCTGTGTTGGCTTAAGCTTTTGCAAATATATCTGTACTCCACTGATTTGTCCATTATGTATTAGACAAACATAATTTAAGGGAAAGGAGGAGGGGTTTATGAATATGTTATAGCTCTGTGTTCTAAACTTCAGGAACATATTCGAAATACTTCACTGTTATAAACATAGTAAAGTCTATATTTCTGTTATGATAATTAAGTTTTTGGCTCGTATTTACCACGATAAAATTATGTTGGAGTTTATAAAAAGTGTTTTAAAGCTTTCTATTGTTATTTAGTATATTAGAAATTAATCATTTAAACAATTATTTTAGTTATTATTTAATTATTTTAATTATTAGTTTTGAATTAGCAATAATCCAATAATTTTATCATCCAAATTATTCAAGTAGTTTTTAACTAACTCAAATTGGATCAATTTTTTAACACCCATTTTTAGAATATTATTTACTGCTGCCAGTGTGATTAGATATTGTTGGGTTTTTGTTTTTTTTTTAGGAAGAATTAAAATAAACCAATAAGAATATAGGTTTTTTGCCTATATTCTTTTATTTTGACAAATTATTTGCGTAAAATAGTAAAAAATAAGTGAAAAGTTTTACTGCTAGAATTAAATTGAAGGATATATGAAAAAACAAGGGTCCTATTCTCTAGGCAGTTAGCAAAATCATTATTAAATTAAAATACCAAGCATAACTATTAATTATATATTTAAATTAAATCAATTTATGTTTGTGCTACTTTAAAATTACTCAGTTTTATAAAATTTTAATATTTGTGGAAATAAAATTATTTTTATGTAATTAGACTGTATACTAAAATAGAAAAGGAATAAGACAATGAATAAAATTTTAGAAATCTTAAGTGTAATACAGTGATTACTAGAACTGTCATTCCTGTTGTAAAGGAAATTGAAGAAGAAATTAAAAGATTAAAACAAGAAGATTATAGACAAGCAATAACTGATTATTAAGCAAGACCGCATGAATTGGATGAAGTGGAACAAGAGGCCAAAAGAGATAGAATATTTGATGAATACTTAAAAGCATATATCAAACAAGCAAGAAAAAAAGTTGTAGATGATTATAACAGATTGTTTGCTATACAAAATCCAAATGATGGAGAAGTTGGTATTGATGCATTAGAAGGAGAAGAGGTTTACAACATGGATATAAGAAGTAATTCTGCTGTAAGAATGTCTTTTGATGATCAGCCAGGAACAAGAGGAACACAAAATGCAGTAGTGTCTCAAAATAGTACTGCATCTGATGCTGCAATAACAGTAACCTTGGGAGGAAATAATAATAATAATAGTCCTTTAGGCCTTATGTCTTTTAACTCATAACAAATAATTTAAAATAGTTTACGTTCTTACTAAAAACATCTATTCAATATAATATTAATAAAAATACAAATTTACATTTCATGATGCTGTTCATTTTTTAAAATACTAATTTTCTTTTAAAAGGATTATTGGAATTTTATTTTAATAATAGCATTTCCACATGTATGTGTGACCATTTTAGTGTAAAACAAACAAAAATTGAACCTTGTTTAAGAGCTATATATTGAGCTAATAATACAGTTAAAAAAATCAACTCTAGCCAAATATATAGCTTTGTTGTTGTTAGTAAGTGCCGTCACGTCAGTTTCGACCTATAGCAACCCTGTATAGGGTTTCTGAGGAGCAGCTGGTGAGCTTGAACTGCCGACCTTGCATTTCAAACTGCTTTGCAGTTTGGTGCATAACCCACAGAAACCAGCAAATACTTTCCATTTCTAATTGTCCAAGCTTGTCTTTTCTATTTCCTCAGACTTGTAGCAAAAGGCTAGACAGCTATTCATAGTCAAAATTCTCTTTTGGGAAATTTGTTGGCCTTCTTCTCTAACCTCATTTGATTCTCAACTTATGGCGCTGTAGGATCAGCACAAGACTTCAAACCACAAGGTCAGCAGTTCAAACCCACCAGATGCTCCTCAGAAACCCTATACCAAGTTACTATGAGTTGGACCTGACTCGGTGGCACTTAATGGCAACAACTACAGTTAGGAGTTTGGGGGCATTGAAATGCTCATTAAAATGCTGATGCAAGGAGCATAAGCAATGGTGTAAGTTGCTATAGAGATTTCTGTATTGGATGAAATCACTGTATTAGTTATTTGAAAGAAGCACTCTAGCTTCTTTATGACCTCGCAGAATTGCTTGCCACATCTATTTATGCTGCTAACCTTTTTATTTTTCCTATTTTGTCCAAAGACGGTATATGAAGAAAGGAGTCTTTTTTTTCTCAGTTAACAGATCCTTAAGGAAATCATTTACAGATTTTAAATGATTCTTTAGAAGTGACTCCCACTGATTATATTTACTGGGCATAGTACTTCCGTGGGTGGGAACTTCAGAAGGAGTTTTCGTTAGGTTTGGTCGTGGAGAAATTGTATGCCAATGACTTTGACCTGTCTTCCTGATGTGCATTTTATATGAAAGCCAGAGTATAACAGTAGTGTGGTGTTTTCATTTCTTTTTCTTTCTCTTCCCGAGACAGCTCTTAAGCTGCTCTGACAAGTTTTCATTTTATTGTTAATCTGTAGTTAGATCTGCTCAGATCTAACTTTGGTATCAATTATAGCACTTTCAAAATGGTCAATTAATAATGCAAATATTAGGGATTTCACAAATTTGAGAACTCTGTCATAAACAAGTACATTATTAATATATTTTGGATGAGGGTTTTTAGTAATACTATTAAATGGTAGCCTCTTCCTTACATGAGGTTAAATAAAATTGATAAACTCAGAAGGGGCTTGCCAAAGAGTAAGTTTGGAGAACTGTTTTTAATGAATATGATTATTAGAACTTACTAAAGAGAATGGTGACAATATTAGCAAGCAAACTGCCATATAGGAACTAGTAGTAATCAAGTGAGATAATTAAGTTCATGCATACTTGATGTCATATTAGGCATCTTCTGAGTTCATTTATTCTGAAGGCTTGCTTACATGATTCAAACAGTAGGCCCTGCAAAGAATATTTTTTTAATCCAAAGACTTGTTATATATACTCTTCTATCAAGAATATAAGGATCCTTAGATTTGAGGGCCAAGTTCTACCTGTTCTAATCTTCCAGACCTCTGTAACACCTCTGCTTTCCTACTTCCTTGCCTTTTAAGTCACAAATTCCTAAATTTTACTAGCATGTTCTTCCTCTGCCAAGAGAAAGAAATTTGGTTCCTTGGTTGTCACTAGTTAACAATTAACTTTTAAAAATTAGAAGAACATAGTTGATGGCTTTTTTAAAATCAAAACTTTTTTTGGGGAAAACTTTATGATAATTATTTATATAGTCAAAATTTGTCATTTTGATTCTATCAAATGGGAAGAAAATAAGATCCTTTTATTTCTAAGAAAAATTATGCCTTGGAAGCAAGATTTGAAAATTTGGGGAAAATTTTGGAGGACAATTGAGACACATTTTAAATGCTATATGGGGACTTTACAACTTGTCTTTGAACTTTAAAGCCTCATTAACAGAAATGGGATCTCATTTCTCACTTTAAGCAATAAAATTCAGGGGGATTTTAGTATTTGATTCACTTAGTTTGGTTTATGTTAACTTGATATTGATTGATAACATGATAAGTATCAATATCATGGAAAAGATTGGACCAATATTTTAATCTCTTGAAGTGAAAAATATGAAGGATACTTTGTTATATATTTAAAATCTGCTTAATGGTATGATTGTTGTATTTATCTGGCCTCAGAAAATTATTTTGATTGTCAGTCTTAAGCAGGCAGTTCAGGTTAACCTATTTTCAGACCTAACCTGAGGCAAAAATTTGGGTGGCTGTCCACTAAGTTCTTCCAGATTTTATCAAGTAAACATGATCAGAAAGGTGTGCACTGGATTAGAAAAAAAATTTTTTTGGTTATTATTTAGAATAATTAGTACTTTATTTTAGAAGCTTTGCAATTTATAGAGAATGAAGTCATTAAGCACATCTGATAAAGGTTTATGCTATACCTCAAGACAATACAGATTAGTTATTCCTTATCCTTTAATATGGGTCAGATTCCGGCCCTCTCTAGAGCTGGTATCCTAAGTTATTTATTACCAGATAGTGGTTTTATATAATTCACTGTCTTAACAAAAACACATTAAAAGACTGCTTTTTCCATTAATGTGTATTCTAAAATGATATGAAATGCTAATTTTCTGTGATCTAGTTATTATCTTTGTCATACTACTGTCTTTATAATCCAGTATCTACAGCATATTTTTCCTTTAAACCAGAGCACAGAAGAGATCCTCTGAAACTGTAGGACTAGATTTTCAAAAGTTTGAACTTGTTATTTAAATTCCCTTTTCAGAAACCTAAAAACCTATCTCATGAACTGTTGTGCAGAATTATAATTTGTGCTTAATTTAGTGGTGGACAATGGGGCTCTCATGCTA